GGTGCCAATGATCTTATTTTTAATATGATCAAACTTATCTATATACAATTCAAATAGCTGATTACTGGTAAAAGTATGGTGAATTAAGGAAATACTTAATGGATATAGTGGCTCAGAATTAAAAGTTGAGTAAACGTTACTTGGAATCTTGAATTTCATGATATTTATTTAAAAATAATCTGTAATTGCTTTTATCTGTAACAGAACAGGCCCAATTATTATCTTTAAAATGTATTTGTTCATTTGCTTCTAAATAACACACTAAAGCACAAGCATTGAACAATTAAGTAGCATTTTTCAAGTAAGAATTTTACTATTCTGTTTAACAATCTGAAACCAGAAACTCTAGCTAGGCTGCATACAGCTGGAGGAGGCTCTACTCTCTCTGGTGCTTTCTCTGAAATGTTCCTGTTTTAAAACAACAGCATCTATAATCTGATGCGGGTTATCAGCTTCTGTCTGTGTGTCCATGCAGTAGTGTTTCCCATTATAAACGGTGTCTGTCTCCCCAAGTTTCTGAACTTCGCCTTGGTGCCTCTGTACGTGCGAACCGCCTTCACCGGCTGCTGCGCCTTCATTTGGGCCACCTTCCTCTGCTTTTCACGTCAGACCGGGGATGGAACAGCTGGAGCCGCTCTGGCATGGATGTTCCCACCTAAAGAGGATGCAGCAGAACCGTCCAAAAAGGAAGAAGACTCTAAGCTTAAGGTAGAGGAAGCAGCAGCATCCAGGGCTGTGAAGTAGCAGAAATGCCTGTTGCTCTAAAGGGATGAAAACAGCGTGTCTGAAAAGGGAGCAGCAGGTCAAGCAGACAGGACCTGCTCTCTTACCTCTCATGGCTTCGTTTTACAAAAACCTTGCCAGACCCGTCTGCTAAGGTCTCACTGATGCTGCAAACACCCAGTGAATGAGTTCAGGTTTTACATTTATGAAACATAAATGTAAACAATACGATCAAATCCTACTTCCCAACATAACGCTGAGTGATCAGCATGTTTTTCTTTTCTTTTAGCATAAACTGTTGTTTCACTTCCAGCCAAACAGCCTTTTGCTCATCTGAACAAGGTTACTAGTGCTGACAATATTTAAGAGCTCATCAGCTTAAATCGACTGACATGATACTAACTGCAAGGTGCAACAAGGTTTAATTTCCACTATGTGGAATGGGATTGAATTGATTTAATCGGACATTTAAATATCACACCCACCCCTCTATACCTCTTCTTGTCTTAGCTTTAGCACGTCCTCCAAGCAGTCTCCTCAGTTTAACAATAGTGTCCCTTCATACGGCGTTAATTTACTCGTGTCCTATTGAATCTTCTGTATGGGGAGCCTTATCTTCTATAATCCCAAGGTTTAAATTCTGTATTTTAAAAGAGGAACTACATGCAGTTTAATACAGTGAATCACTGCAGAAATGAATGCTGAGATCCAGCAGTAAATCACTGCGAAAAAATGCCATATCTTGAATTTATAAGATGTGCCGAAAAAAGTGTCAAAGAGTAGCAGAAGATCACTGGCTGCTTTCTCTTTATTATGTCATGTTTAATACATGTTTGTACTGGTAGGTACTTTTCAGCAAAATTTTCTTTTTGTTTTATAGGAAATACTATAATTTTATAAGCCTAACCACCTCTAGACAACAACTGAAATAGTACAGTTAATAGTTTCCATGTGGAAGGTAGTTTCTGGTTATTTTCCATTTAATTTAATAAGTTTAGTTGAATTTCCAAATCCCTCCCACCTGTTCTTCCAATTCACATGAATTCCATTTGATTTTCTGCTATTTTATATCTCCATTCTGCATGGGGTTGTTTTACCTAGCTTGTTTTTTTTAAGATACAAATCTTTAGATCCTGCTGTCATTTTCTGCTCTGACAATGTTTTAGTTCCTTTTTCTTCTTAAACTGTAGAAAAATACCCACTTCTGTTTTATTTTAATATTGTGGAGAAGATATTAGCATGCGATGTTATGTGACTGTAACATTTCATGTGTCTCATAATTGAGTAAATATTGTATATCTTTGAAATGCAAGGTAAACGCTACACCTGTTTGTGTTATTTATATTTAAACTGCATCCTTGAAAGTAAAAATGTATGATTTGTAATATGATATTTTTCCAGATGTTTTCTTGCTAAGGGAATGTTTGTGTGGGGATTTAAAACACTGGAACATAAATGTCATAAAAGTGAATTTTCCCTTTCCTAGCAGCTTATATAAAGTTTGGTTTGCACAATTAAAGCTCTGACTTTTGTTTATGTAGATTTCCATAATAACAGATTGGTGCTATATTTAAAATGATTTGATCTTGTCTTGCATTAGTTGCACTAATTACAAAGGATTATATTATGGATGGAATAAATTAAACTTTATTTTGACTCATTGTGTTTTTTATTGGGTTTATATAGAGAATTGCTCATTTACTAATTTTAGAGCAAAGGAGATTGCCGCCTAAATTCAATTATTTATTAATAATACATTAGTCCAGGCGTAATCAATCAGGACAGGAGAGTCCTAAGTGCTTGAACACAAAGCAACTGGAAAATATCAAAGCAGATAACAGCCTGTATTCTCATATATTAGTCAGGGGTTCCCAAATATTTCTGTCTATGACCCCCAAAGTAAAAGAGCCAGACTGTTGTTGCACGCCCAGAATGAAATTATTACCTTTTCTTTTTTAATTCAATTTATTTTTGTTTGATTTTATTAAAAAACAATACTTAATCAGATGTCTAACTCTGCATTTATAATTAATGGTATATTTATTTATGTGATCAACAAATTCTTACATTTTATTATTTCATGATATCTTTGTGGTTTTGGGATTTTCAAATTGATTAAATTAATATTTTGTCCTTATTTTACTAATGTACATGGTGTCCAATCACGAATATTCAGAAATTCATGTCCCTCAACTTATTGTTGCACAAACCTCCACTTTGGGAATTAATGTAGTTAATTTTCATACCTTATTAAGAATTTACCAGTTACTTCCCCTATGCTAAATGTTTACGTTCTGGAACTTACAGGAAACTTTCACTGAACTAGATATTGTATATAAAATATATATAAGATAGTTTCTCATGTTACAATACTGTAATACAATATTGTAAGCCCACTAAGAACTGGAAAGAAAAGATAAGTTATAGAAAAATTGGGGTAAACTTTTTTTACATAAGCTCCAGAAAATTTAAATAAGCTAAGTGGAGTATGAGATCGTTGCTGATGAACATGCAACTTTTAATTCTGATTTGATTACAACGGATTTTTTATTTTATTTTTTAAGTAAGTATTAAAAAAAAGTGATATTCCTGAATTATGAGTGTTCTCCAAAGACCACCAACATCATACTTTCTTAAATCACAATAATTTATTTTACTCCAAATGTATTCATTAACCATCGAGACAGAACTTCAGGAGCTAACTCATTATTTCCTCACATTTTAGTAATGCAGCATGCAACTATATCCATTTAAATACTTTATAGTTTTGTTCATTTAGATGTTTCACTCATTTTGAAGCCAGTTGACTACGTTTCTAACGTATTCAAACATTTAGTAGGACCTGTCTCTCTTTTTTTGCATCAGTAACTTTGCTGATGATGTTGCATCACTGACAACGCCCCTCATCAGATAGTCATCCAATTAGGTCACATTCATCAGCAAACCAGGGTCACACCCTGCAGCCATGCAACACTACCACTTTTCTAACCTGAAGTAGATATTTTACTAATTATTTCAATTACTCTTTAGAGTTATTTGTGATTTTAGATAAAGTGAAATTAACATTTTAAACAAGATTTGTATTTTTTTTATCAGAACAAAATAATATTTTAATTAACTAGATGAAGTAGAAATCTCACGTCATTCAATGCAGGCTGGCTCCTTGCTTCTGTAGCACCCATAAAATATCAAATAATGAACTACTGCCCTGTTTTTGTTTACCCATTTTTTCTCTTCCCAATGAAAAAACTTGCTGGCCACCCAGTAAATTTGATCTACAACCGCTCCTGATCTACAACTACAGCTAAAGGGAAAGTTAACACTCAAAATATTAATGTAATTTACCAAACTAAGGTAATGTTTAAATGTTTTACACCTTTCTTTGTCTTTAGTTATCTGTTTTCAGAGAAAGGTGCAGATAACGCATGTGCTGCGCACATAGACTTTCTGCTTTACACATTTTCTAATCCAAATGCTTCACTGTAAGTGTGTGTAACACAGCTGTTTTATTTTTATCATCGCCACCATCACCGTCATACGGAAGGGGATTAGGGCAACTGAAAATTTTTAAAAAGTTAACTGATTTTTAAATTTTACTTCTGTATAATATGAGAAAAAAGTCAGAATTCTGACTTTAATCTCAGAATTTTGGATCTTAATGTAGATGGGCACTATGAAGGAAGAGATGTGGGAGCACTCAGCTTCACTGACAAAGATTTGAGTTGTTTGGGAGGGCCAGTAACACACTGGTGGAAAAAGAAGGAATTAGGTGACCTTTTACGTGTCCGAGGGTTCCCTGGTGATGATATTTCATTAATGGAAGAGCAGAAGGTGATTAAAACAAGAGAGCTAGTTTAGTCTTAAATTCAGAATTCTGGGGTTAAAGTCAGAATTCTGAGAAAAAAAAAAGAATTCTGAGATTAAATTCTGAGATTTAAAGTCAGAATTCTGAGAATAAAGTAAAAATTCCAAAATTTAAAGTCGGAATTCTGAGGTTAAAGTCAGAATTCTGAGATTTAAAGTCAGAATTCTGAGAATAAAGTAAAAATTCCGAGATTTAAAATCGGAATTCTGAGGTTAAAGTCAGAATTCTGAGGGGGGAAAAAGTCAGAATTCTGAGATTAAATTCAGAATTCTGATTTTTTTTTTTTTAAAGTCAGAATTCTGAGGTTAACCTTTTTTTTTTCTTTTTTTTTTTCAGTGGCCTAATCCTCTTTCGAGCCATCATGATCCTGGAGTTAGTCCGTGTCTCCCAGGTCCCCTCATCCCCGCCCTCACTGCGCATGCTCCCTGCATCCCTTACATCTGTTCAGGATTTGAAGCCTCGGCTGAAGATGCTCTCAGCGTCTCGGGTTCGCTGGTCGCTTGTCACCGGGTGAACACTGACTCATCTGGAGAAACACAGACAAGGAGGAGACGGTACAACATTTACCCAAAGGCTCCCGCTTGCTTCCCGGATCTTTCTTTTCCTCTTCAACATGGAGCTGAAGAAATCTTTGTCGGACACGGAGCGAGCGCTCCGCAGCTACGGCGCCGTGTCGGAAACGGCGTGGACGACGGACAAAGGTGGGTAAACATGCATCCTAATGTAGTGATGTTTTTAAACTCCAGCTAATGCAGACCAGCGGGGCTGAATGGTTTTGTACTTTTGGCCATAACAGCGGTCAGAGCAGCCAGATTCAGCGCTGAAATGGTTAAAGTGTGACTCACTAAAGGGGTTTGATGAATCGTCAGCCTGACGCTGCTTCAGTGCTATTAGGGCCTATTACTTAACATACAGGAGTAATAAGCGGCTGTGCATGGGATTAAGCCAATAAATGTCCCTAAAACTTCTTCTCATCATTGCATTAATGCAACACTGATTCCTACATTAACACTGTCTGCATGATGCATCTCTCTGATCAATATGAATGTGTCAGCAGCCAGTTATATTTATGGAGTTTGCATGGGGCTGATGACTCAGACTGACCGGAATAATAAGGATTTACAGCAGCTTTGGTTTACATAGAAGAAAGCAAAAAAACCTCACAATGCAGGCTTGTGATGTTTGGAAACTATTTGAAATTAGATTCATACTTAATCTTAATTTCCAAGAAATGCACATTTCTATCTATACTGAACATCAAAATTGTTTTATGTAAATCTGGTAACAAAATTGGACCAGTCTCCATCGCTTGAGTGTTTGAACTGAGCTGTACTGCAAAAAAAAAAGTTATGTGTGTTTTAATGAGCTTTACCCTGTTCTAGAATCTAAACCAGTAAAGACTGATGGATGAAACATTTCCCACCTGAAGCCATACATATATATATATATATATATATATATATATATATATATATATATATATATATATATATATATATATATATATATATATATATATATATATATATATATATATATATATATATTATTTTGGACAGATATGTGTTGGTTCTGACCACGGTGGTATAGGACACTTTTAGAGTCTGAGAAGAAGGCTAACAATACAGAGGTGATTATTCTGTCTTACCTGAGGTGACCTTTTTAGCATTTCTTCATCCCCCAAAATATAAACCTATACATAAAGCATGTTGCTGTTTGTATTTTGTTCTCTCCAGTTTTTTATTTGTGTAGAGAAGGCTGATCCGGCAGCATTAGAGCATTCAGTCAGACTGCAGGATATGTCAGGAGCCTCTGCATCCAGGTGACAGGCTGACATGTCTTTCTTTCTCTCTTCCTAGAGAGGCTGCTGCACAGTCTCCAGGCAGTTTGACTCTGAAGACGATCTATTTGAAATAAAATGTGGCAAATAAACCTGAGTAATTCTGTTTAAACTAAAACTGCTTTGCACTTAGAACAATGAGGGCAGTTTGCTGTTGATAATTAGTGCTTAATATGTTTTTCAGATGTTATATAGTTGATATAAAAGGAAGCTGTGGGGATATTTAGCTGCCATTTTGGGATCTTTAATGGCATAGTATAGATTTACTGCAGCTTGGTCTGTCTGGTAATAATCCACAAGGAAGATGATGGAAAACAGTAAATGCCTAAGAAAACAAACTTTCCCATGTTTTAAGCTGCACCTACATGATATGAACGTTGTTTTATTATCAGTGTTGATCATCTACACACACATTAGATGATGATTCGAAACTAGAGCAGACAAACAAGCTGAGTTGTGTGCAAATGTTTATGTGGTGAGTCAGCTCCATCCATGAGCAGAACCCCACAGAAACAGACTGCGGAGCCTGTCCAGCTGGTTCGCCAGTGCTACAGTATCCAACCGTGGATTGTTGACTCAGGAAAAACACAACAAATGGGTTGTTTACTGCATTAGTTAAGGAAGTCTTGTTTATCAATGTTTTCTATCATTGTAATGGAAAATTTCAATGTATTATTGATCTAATGAGTTAGATCAACACAAAGTAGTTCACAAGAGAAAAATGGAATTTATCTGTGTGATGTGTTTAGTTCTCTCTACTCTGAAGCAACTGATATGAATCCAGTTCGACCAGTTTTCCTCAGAAGTCTCCTAACCAGTGAAGTAGCCACTCTGGCTCCACAACTGAGGAAATCATGAAATTCTTTAAACTGTGCTTTGATCATATAGGATCGAAGGCTGTCTCTGTATGTCTTTGCAATTGAAAATGGGATTTTTGGGGGCATGTACACGCCTGCAGCCTGAACATTTAGACTTTTCTCGTTTGCAAAACAGCTCAAGCAGACTCCCATTGGTGGAGAGCATCTGTGAAGGTCAGCACATTCTCTGTTGGGATTAGGTATTTGATACTTACAATAGACTAAGCTTTAATCCAAACCTTTCCTTTGGAGCTAGGTGAACACTCTTCCTAGTCTAAAGTAAATCCTCTGAAAGGTATTTCTTTCCGGTTGTCCAACATTTAGCTCCATCCATCCAGCTTCCCTGCCTGTGCTGAAGCTATGCGTCCTCACAGCATGACGCTGCCTCCACCTTTCTGCAATTATAGTCTGTTAAGTGTTGGTGTTCCTTCTTACATACACTCTCAAAAATAGTTCACCCAAATGTATTTAATTTAATTACCTAACATTCCCATTTACCTTTTTTAATCTTTAGTCTTTTTTTTCTACTTAAATAAACCTTACATTATGCATTTTCATTAGTTTTATGTATCTTATTGATTTGAAATAAACAATCATCAGGTTTATGTATTTAGTAATAATAAAGTATACTTAATCAAAATTAATAATTAAATCCAAATTACTAATGGGTGTATTTATTTCACATACATAAAGTGTATTGTTTTAATTGCATAATGGAAACACTAACCCCCTTTCCTGTCAGCCTACTGTCCAAAAAAACCACCTGAAAAAGATAAGCTATATTAAACAAATGAATATGCATCATGTAAGGTTTATTTAATAATAATCTAAAAGTGTACATGTGAATTTGTTATGTAATAAAATTGCATAGATATTCAAATTTAGGTGAATTCGTAAGTGTAGCTTTTTGCATGTAGTTGAAAAGGTTATTTTTCAAAACTGTAAATAGAATACAGGTGCTGGTCATAAAATTAGAATATCATGAAAAAGTAGATTGATTTCAGTAATTCCATTTAAAAAGTGAAACTTGTATATTATATTCATACATTACATACAAACTCATATATTTCAGATGTTTATTTTGTTTAATTTTGATGATTACAAATGACAACAAATGAAAATCTCAAATTCATCATATCAGAAAATTAGAATATTGTGAAAAGGTTCAAAATTGATGGCCCCTGGTGCCACACTCTAATCAGCTAATTAACTCAAACCACCTGCAAAAGCCTTTAAATGGTCTTTCAGTCTAGTTCTATAGGCTACACAATCATGGGGAAGACTGCTGACTTGACAGTTGTCCAAAAGACGACCATCGACACCTTGCACAAGGAGGGCAAGACACAAAAGGTCATCGCTAAAGAGGCTGGCTGTTCACAGAGCTCAGTGTCCAAGCACATTAATAGAGAGGCGAAGGGAAGGAAAAGATGTGGTCGAAAAAAGTGTACAAGCAAGAGAGATAACCGCACCCTGGAGAGGATTGTGAAACAAAACCCATTCAAAAATGTGGGGGAGATTCACAAAGAGTTGACTGCAGCTGGAGTGAGTGCTTCAAGAACCACCACACACAGACGTATGAAAGACATGGGTTTCTGCTGTCGCATTCCTTGTGTCAAGCCACTCTTGAACCACAGACAGCGTCAGAAGCGTCTTGCCTGGGCTAAAGAGAAACAGGACTGGACTGCTGGTGAGTGGTCCAAAGTCATGTTCTCTGATGAAAGTAAATTTTGCATTTCCTTTGGAAATCAAGGTCCCAGAGTCTGGAGGAAAAGAAGAGAGGCACTTCATCCACGTTGCTTGAAGTCCAGTGTAAAGTTTCCACAGTCAGTGATGGTTTGGGGTGCCATGTCATCTGCTGGTGTTGGTCCATTGTGTTTTCTGAGGTCCAGGGTCAACGCAGCCACATACCAGGAAGTTTTAGAGCACTTCATGCTTCCTGCAGCTGACCAACTTTTTGGAGATGCAGATTTCATTTTCCAACAGGACTTGGCACCTGCACACAGTGCCAAAGCTACCAGTACCTGGTTGAAGGACCATGGTATCCCTGTTCTTAATTGGCCAGCAAACTCTCCTGACCTTAACCCCATAGAAAATCTATGGGGTATTGTGAAGAAGAAGATGCAATACACCAGACCCAACAATTCAGAAGAGCTAAAAGCCACTATTAGAGCAACCTGGGCTATCATAACACCTGAGCAGTGCCACAGACTGATCGACTCCATGCCACGCCGCATTGCTGCAGTAATACAGGCCAAAGGAGGCCCAACTAAATACTGAGTGCTGTACATGCTCATACTTTTCATGTTCATACTTTTCAGTTGGCCAACATTTCTATAAATCCTTTGTTTTTATTGGTCTTCAGTAATATTCTAATTTTCTGATATGATGAATTTGAGATTTTCATTTGTTGTCATTTGTAATCATCAAAATTAAACAAAATAAACATCTGAAATATATGAGTTTGTATGTAATGTATGAATATAATATACAAGTTTCACTTTTTAAATGGAATTACTGAAATCAATCTACTTTTTCATGATATTCTAATTTTATGACCAGCACCTGTATAATAGAAGAATAGAATAGAACTTTATTAATCTCAGAATGGAGAAATTTTTTTGTGACATCGGCTCTTTTAAACAAACTGAAGGTGCAGAAAGGAGGAAAACATTACATCTTTTAGATCAATTGTATCTTTCTTCCTCCACTCTTGCAAAAGAGGCCGACTGGTTGAGTTACAGAACAAACACACACATTTTCCAAAATAAGCTGTGGAGCTCAGCATCTCCTCCAGATTAATCCTGGGCCTCATCTCTTACTGCCTTCAATGCCCAACATGTCAGTGGACGGCACTGTCCAGTTTCATATGATTCATTACAATGATTAATATTCTTATAACAGTCTAAGACTACTTTAAACTTCTCTTTAACTTTCCTTCTGACCCCTAATTTTTAGGATGCTGTTTTCTCACTAATATCCTTTAACTTACCTGCACAGGACATCTGAAAAACTCATACACAGATTGACTCTTTTCATTAGTGAGACTATTGGGTAGAGTGAATTTAATTTAGGGTGTTCAGGGGAGAGGGGATTGAAAAAAATGCACTCCACTATTAATTAAGATTTTCTCTTGCCATAAAATTATGCATTTCTTTATCACTATTACATAAAGTTCCAATGAAAAAACTGAAAACTTTGTGGTCCTAACATGAGAATGATGCTTTAAATTAAATGTAATAAGACAGATGTGTGCTGCTTACTGAGAGCCATGCTGGAAAGGTCAGAACTGTGCTTGTGGCTGCAGATCCTGGAGCATTTTCAGCAGCCAGTAGATTAATCAGTGGATTAAGTGGTTTGCAAAGATCATCATCAGAGGCTGCAGTTTGTACACATAATTGGCAGATATGTTGGTTAGAACTGACGCATAAACAGTAGGGAACCAATCAACACCTCTTGGAGAAGATTCAAACTGCCTGAGAATAAAAGACTGAAACTTCCAAAGCGTCTGTTGCTTCCACACATTCTGCTCTCCAATGCTCACCCTCCTGGCTGTGTGAAAACACTCGCCACATGAAAAGGGCAACATTGCTGATGTCACAATAAAGTTTCCAAGAACTGAAAGTCAGAAATAAAGAGAAAACAAAGAGGTCTGCAGACTTGAATGGAGTAAGCGCACTCTGTAACTATACTAGCACTGCTGCGGGCTAAAAGAAAATAGGATTTATGAGGAATTTAGTTGTTTCCCCCCCATAGAGCCAGTGTTTATTTCACCCGGCAGCTTTCTTTGCATCTCAGGTCACTCAGATGTGTCCATGGCTGAGAGCACCATGTCTCCGGAAGAGATCGAGGTGGAGATGGCTCGCATTCAGCGCCTGCGGGAGGTCCTGGTGCGCAGGGAGTCAGAGCTGCGTTTCATGTGAGTGTGTCTTTCTCTGTGTTATTTCCACACCGACGTACACAGAATGTGAAAAAGGTTAACCAGTGAAGCGGTGTAACAGTTCCTGCAGTGTCCCTCAGCGGGGGTTAATGAGCTTCATCTAGTCACAGTGATACTTTCAGAGACATTAAGATGCGCTTGCAAAGGATTTCAGATGCTACTTAGTTCAGACACAATGAACCGGGTGTTTGGGAGCAGCGATTGATTATTCTGCAGGCTGAACATGTCAGCATCAGATGAATGAGTCACTGTGATGAACCTGCTGGGTCCTCAGCTTAGAGGTCTGTTTTAGAAACTGTTTCCTTCAACTTGAAATAAGTCTGAGCTGTTTTTCACAGCACACCAATAGACAGCTGAAAGCAGATATTGTCAAAGAGAGGCTTCAGGGTGTAACCTTAAAGCTACAGTGTGTAATTTTCAGCGACATCTAGCGGTCAGACTACAGACCGCAGCAACATGAACATCTCCCCCCCACCGCTTCTCCCCCCCAACAGTACGGCGAGCGTTACGGGACAAAATTTCTTCTACGACGTCCACATCACCTACCCTCTCAAGTGATGAGGTTTGTTTACATAGATAATTTTACAGATAGTATTTCATTAGTCTGTGTAGGGTATAGATTTCATGTAGACTTAAGATAATAAATATACCCGTTATTTTTTCTACATCGTTGTGACGTCTTGGTGAGCTGCTTTGCATGGTGATATAAACAGACGAAGTAATTGTAGTCATTAGTTTAACAGCGAGATTGTGTTCGCTGGAAGAATATATCCCCCGTTTACAGAGTCCAAGTCATTTTGGTGGCACGGGGGTTACAACGCGAGGGAGAGGGAGAGGACGAGGGCGAAGGCAGGGAGGCCGTGCAGCTAGGGCCAGGCGAGAGAGGGGAGCCAGCGGGGTGAGAGCAGAGGAGGAAAGGCTTGAAGATCTCCAAAGGAGCCGGAGAGAAGTAACCGAGGTATATATCCAGAAAATTATTTGACAGAAAATTACTGAATCATTACCTGTGAAACGTCAGGGACGTTGCTGAATAAGTATACTGGAGAGTAACAGCATCATCACGCAGCATGTTATTGTTTTAGACAGGTCTGAGCATCCTGTACTCCAAAAACTGCAGTGATATTAGACAATTGTGTGTGTAGGATTAATTACCTGTCCAAGAGAAAACTGGCAACTTGAGCGTCACTTTGAAAACCTTTTTCCTCCATCAGTGACTTCCATCGTGTAAATGCCGTGCCAATGTTGATCCGTGTTTTTTGCCGTTTCTTGTCACGCTTGCGTTTATTCTCGTCGTGTTTCCGCTTCTTAGATGACGGGGGTTCGGTGTCCGCCGCTTTTCGTTGTGATACAGAGTAGGCATGATCCTCCATTCGTCTGATGTTTGGCCACACAGTGCCAAACAGTTTGCAAAGTCACTCACGCCTGCCGCCTTGTTCACCTTTCTTGTTACTGAGGCGCAGTATACCTGCTTCTTCTTCTTCTTTGGTTTCAGGCAGACTAAACGCTTCTCAGGCATAATACTGCCATCTACTGTTCAGTACCGTCTCAGTTAATCTCTCTCAACTTGCCGTAGTTATTTTTGAGCGTCATGGGAGATCTCGCAATCGCTAGTTTGTTGCCTCTGCGCTTGCCGTAGCGCAAAGATGTCAGCCTCCATGGCTGCGAGACCCGCTCCTATGTAATTATAAATAACGAATTCTAAGGCAACGCAAATATTATGGTTAAAAGGCTGAGCTCATAGGTGATGATAAATAACATAGTTATGTATAATATATTAAATTTCTGACTTTATATGCCTGTAATTATTACACACTGTAGCTTTAAACCTGGGGTCAGGTCATTTAGCTTTAAAACTTTATGGCTTAAGTCAAACATTTTTTTTTCTATTGACAAGCTTCCACCAATGGAGACGGAGGATTGAGATCCAAGACTTGTGATTGAACCCCCCCCCCCCCCCCCCGAAAAATCAACGTTGTTGTTCTGTTAATAAATTTGTAATGAAGTAATATGATTTGGGTTTCTGTCTGTTCGGGCAATTTATTTGTGTTAGGTTTAAACACCAAACATTTTATGTAGTAACCTGTACAAAGGAAGACACAGAGAATTTTAGTATGATTTACTTGCAAGGAGAGTGATCAGAGACTGTTCAGTTACAATTCTCCAAACCACTCTGAAAAAGTCTCCGCTCTACCAAGCTTTTTATTT